GAAAACAATGAGAGGAACCATACCCAACGGCGGGCGTACGCGACAGAAGACTCGAATGTTTCCTTTCAACTCCTGATGACATTGTTAGCTACAACTCTTCCAAAGCACAAAAAACGCGGGAAGTAACAAGTTACCTGGATGGTGTTATGCAACCGGCGCCTCAAAGTCTCCTCCTCTCTGACCTTTCCTTCAAGTTCCGCCACAGTCTTGTTCGCCTCTTCCAACTGCTTTTCCAATTCTGCCACACGGTCATTGCGCTGCCGAACAGTTTCCTCGGTTTGCTGTTTAAAAGAAGACATCAGCTCTGATTAACACACTCAGTTCGTAATGTCCGGACCTTACTCACCTCAAGTTTAAGCTTCGTGGCTCTGCATTCGCTCTCAATTGTAAGGCTGGCAGCGGATTGCGTCGCAATAGTCGACTGAAACCAAGACATCGTATAAGATTTTTGCATGTGGGAAGCCACGTCGAAATTTAACTCACCCGCAGCTGAATGTTTTCGTCTTTCGCCAATCTCAATTCTGTCGTCAAATCATCCCTAGCATTTTCCAATCTCTTGACATTTGCTTTGATATCCTCCATTTCCCTGCCGTGCCGGGATTTCAGTGTGGCAACTTCCTCTTCGTGCCTTGATTTTGCAGACTAGAAACGTGCCCAAAAATGAGTATTGGCAGAAACATGGGCAAGGTCACCACAGTCATACCTGTAACTCGTTGCGCAATTCGGATAGATCCTTAGAAATGGTCACATTTTCCTTCTCCTTAACCTCAACTTTTGATTCCAAACTTTGGCGGAATGCCATAAGTTCGTTGACTGGACGAAATGATAGTCAGAAATATTCCCACCAGTTACAAAGGTCGACCAGGGTTCTTACTGGTCATCCTGCTCTGTTGTAACTCGTCAGTCATCTGCGCGAGTTGCTGCTTGGAGTCCTGGAGGCGACTCTCAGTTTGGTGATTGTACTCTTCCAAATCTTCCAAACGGCCCTAAGACTCCGGTAGAACGATGATTTGATTTTGCATTCGGAGCGCAGACACCTCCAAACTCGTTAGGGACACCAGCCCACCTTTACATCCCAAGCCGGGCGTTTCTTTTTCTTCGGCGCCGCAGCGTCCGTGGATTCATTCTCAGGAGTTGGAGCTTTCGACGGAGCCTTTGACGCAGTCGCTGTCGCACGGGTGGCAGTTGTTCTCGACCCTGCAATTCCAGTTCTGGTTGTGGTTGCTCTGCTTGCTGCAGTAGATCTGGCGGATGCCGCGGATCTGGCCGGTGCTGTGGATTTGGCCGTTCCGGTCCTCGCAGTGGTTGTTTTTGCTGCCGTAGATTTAGCAGTAACCGGCTTAGCGCCCGGCTTGGAGGTGCCCGCGGCGTCAAGGCGTGCCCGTGTATTTCGCTGAGTGGCCGTTCCAGCAGCTGGACCTTCCGGCTTCCGCTTCAACGACGTGGTGTGAACTTTGAAGTCCTCCGCGGTTGGTTGTGGCTCCTGTCCGGTGGGGTATCGTTAAGGCTTGAAACCGAAGTGTGCAAGAAAACCAAAAGCAAACCGCCGACTCACTCCTACCTCTGACTGTGTTTCAACTGTTTGTTCATCACTTTTGGCGCTTGCGGCTGTTGCAGACGCCGCCGCATTGAGAGCTGCAAAGTCAAACTTCTTGATCGTGACGGGCGCAATCTTGCTGGGTGCCCTTAACCGGCCAGGAGTTGCCGCTGCCGCCGTGCCCGCTGTCGAAGGTGGAGCTGCTGCCGACACCGCGGAAGCCTTATTTGGAGAAAGGACGGTGAGGGTTGGATTGTCAGACGGCTGTGAGTGCTGGGGTTCTCTTTCATGTCCCAAATGGGCAGACACTCACCCCGGCCTCTGTCTCCGCCTTTCCTTCCATGAGTGTTACACTGTACAGTTTCTGTCACCGTATTTGCGACTGACTCTTTCTCTCCCTTTCCGCGCGCAAAGGAACTTGGCAACGAAGGATTGTCTCTCGGGTGGAGGATTGAGCGATGGAGGATGGGAGACGGGGTGCAAACCTCGAGCTCTGCTCGTTCCAGGATCCGTCCGAACCTTCGGATACTGCAGCGGTATCCAAATTATTTACAAGTTTGGAAGCTAGTGAGCGAGACTGGGAAATCATAACAACTATTATAGGAGATTGTGGTTACCGCCATCAAATATTGAATGGCGTTCGACCATAAAGATTCGGTGAACCACAATACAGTATGTGTCAACCCAATATGTGTCAACCACGTTTTCCATTGTTGTAGGTATCGCATCTTCCCAGCAAACTTACTGCCACCGCCTAAAAATCTCACCCAACCACCAAAACGACTTCCTCCTCTCCACCCTAATCAACTTACACTCAGCCGGTATATATGGAAGCGATCGTTTCCTCCCACAATCACCCCCACACCCAACATCCCCACATCCCAAACACACCACCGCCGCCTGTGGGTCGCCGACTAGCACCCTCTGCGGCGCCCGGGACAAATTCAACGGCACGGGTGGGTGCTTTATGTGATGCGCCGAGTGGAGGGGTAGTGGGATGGAGGAGTGTGATGTGGATGGGCAGAGGTGGGATGTGAGGGCTGCTGGAGTTTGGAAGGAGTGGAGGCAGAGCGGGCAGTGGTGGCGGTAGAGGGCGGGTTTTGAGGACGGGTGAGCGAACACGGAGGGTGGGTCTGGGGTGTGCATCTGATGATGTGATTAGTCCGGGAAGGGCTCCATTCCTTTGGGAAAACGAAGGCGTTGCTTCCCCATCAAACCTGCTCATAATGCCGGATCCACTCAGCTCTCGTCGGACAATCGCTGCACATTTCGTGCTGACTGCATGCGACAGTCGCGTAGCAAGCCTTATGATTCTGTCCGGCCCTGCACATGACTCTGTACCGGTCGCAACGCGTCGTTACATGTGCAGCACGTTCGTTAGCGCTTTTAAAAGAAAAGCAGTGAGTTGATATGTATTCCGTCAAATCGAATGGAAGGATGGATTCCAGTGCTTCCAGTGGGCTGAACAATGAAAGAAATGCGGTATAAGTCGTGAACCTCGAATATAAGTAAAATCCTTAAGGAGCGCAACCAAACACGCACTGATGCCGTTTAGCAGCCTTTGCAGCCAAAATTTTCAAACTCTCGGGCACGTTGGGAGGCAGAGGTACAAACCCCTCTTCGCTAGCATCCATTGGACAATAATACCGTCGTTTCGGGCAAATCAGCCAATGATCCTGCCATTGTCAAGAAAAGTATCTCCTCTCAGCCCCATACTCGTCCTCAGTTCAAGGAATGCACAGGCAAACTGTAGAAACAACCTCAAGGTCACAATCAGGTACTTTTGCCTTGCAGACGCAGGTCGTTACTGGAGAGCTGAGGGATAATACTCTTCCGACATTCCCTGTATGCGGGGTGGCGAGAGGTGATGTAAGGGAACAACGGAACGACATGAGCAATTGGAATTCTTTCAACCTTTCTTTCCTTACATAGGTGGAGGTCGATTGGTGGGACCAAGGGCGAGCCATCTGGAACATCCCCTACGTCCATCTCGTTCATTGGAAGACAATGAAGCATGGTTGAAACCAACGCAGCAAAGCACCTGTGAAGGTGGCGCATGCGGGTGGCGCGGCATGGCTGCTTTGCCAAATGTTGCTCAAAATGTTTTCAAAATGTTCCTCAATTGTTGCTGCACCAACCACATAGTTATTACATAACTAAGTTACTGCAATAATAGAATAGGATTGATTCTTTTAAGAGCAACAGTAGACAAAGACTTGAATTTTCTACCGTAAATCTCTGCTTCAGCAAATCTATGTTGCACGTCACAGGAAGAGAAGTTCCGACAGATGCTACGATCCTCGGATTTGAACCGACCATCCATCCGTCACCGAATTTCGTTTCCTGTAAAACTCTCCATTCGCTTCAACCACCTGCACAAGGATCTTATCGGAATCTGCTTCTTTGAAAGCCCACAATCTCCGATTATCCAAGCTCCACCAAACATCCTCGTGCCAAACCACGCGTATGGGGTCAACGTCGTCCTCGTCGAGCTGGCCCCATCGCAATGTGTCCTCCAAATCGTAAATTGTGCCATAGTCCTCGTCAGAGAAGTACCGACTGATGCTGCGCTGGGTGTAGCGAATCTCACTGGGGTCCAGGTGACGGTGACGATGGATTGAATTGGTGAAAGAGTTGGAGACGCGCCAAAACATCCGTCCGTTGGCACTCTTCACAAAATACGTTCCATCCGGGCCCAGGACTACGTCTTTGACCGTATTTTCATGAAGGATCGACCTGAGGTCATCGTCCAACTCCCCAAACCACGCCGACCCATCTGCAAATTGCGCCCAGTACCCGCCGTCTTCGTCCATCTCAACACGCCTCAGCCCCGGAAGCCATGACTGCCGCCCCCTCAATCTCCGTACCAACGAATCCGGTAGACCGTACCAGTCATAACCCAGTCCCTTCTCCGCACTAAACCAGGCACCATCCGGCCCAAACGACAGCTTTCGCACCTCGCCCTGAACGTTGAAATCCTCCAATCCCCTCCAATAGCATTTATTGTCTTCGAATTGCACAAACGCGTCGTCGTCGCTCTCTTTTCCCAAGGCAAGGTAAGATACCGGCGCATGGCCGGCGTTGTTACGACCGTTGATTTTGTTGTGGAGCCAGGTGGGGATACCGTCCCACACCTCTTCGCCATCGGGGGAAAGGATGTAGAACGACCCGTTCGCTCCAAGAGCTACGACTTTTGGAACTTGCATTGTGATGGCCAAAGAGCTCGAGAGTCGTTCTGCCGCAGCATGTTCCAATCGCGCCCACCAGCCACAACAGGTGCAAACAAACCAACTCTTAGTATTGTCCGCGCGGCAAACTTGCGATTCTGCCAGTCCGCAACCGGTGCAAGCCGGCTGTGAGTTGAGCAGAAAAAGAAATAGCAGAAAAGAAACGACAACACAAACAAAAACCACTGAAAAAATGAGGATTCCACAAATTTACGTGGTGCCTTTCGCACCTGTGATGGTTTCGTCCGGGATCGAACCGGAGACCTTCAGTGTGTTATACTGATGTGATAACCAACTACACCACGAAACCTGGTTACTGTCGGGGGGCAAACTTGTAATACTTGAACCGACATAAACGAAGAAGGGTATCCAGCCGACCGAAGGACATCCCGCACCACCTGAGCAGCATTACCCCGTTAAGAGACAAATGTCCGTCTGCAAACCACTGCATGTCCATCCGGCAGAGAGGAGTCTTAACATCACAATTTCAACACAGTGACTGTGTTGCTCTAACTACAATTACTTTTCTACTTTACAGCACAAGGCCATCTTCGGTGAAAGAAATCCTTTCCAAATACCGCAACTCTAACATTTCCACTTAAATCCGATCCTGATGTAGTGCCAACCCCTTCACAGCAAGTTCTCTCTCGTATCTGCGGCGATAAATGATAGTGTTCGCTTGAGTAATGAAATGACGGTAGTAATCCCGTCGGATAAAGTGCTCTTCACCAACATTTGCAAATCTCCCGCAAGTAACTTTTGCAAATCAGCGCGACGGTGAATGAGAAGATCCTCGTTTGCTTGGTTGGTTTCTTCTCGGGTTCTGTGAAGCGCATGTGTGCGGATGAGAACTTTGCTATCTTATCTGGAGTGCCCTCTTTTCCGTTCACTGAACGTCAAACCGCAAACTCTCCCGAAAGCTCACGTTTCGTGTTTTCTCTTCATCTCACTCTTCCACGCCACTTCGCGTGCATTGTCTTGCCAGTTTGACACGAACGTTGCTTCGCGGTTTCTGAAGCACGTTGTGAGGAAGCGAACGGGTCTGAAGGGGAATGGAGTAAAGGACGACATACCGCCGCTGAATATCTCGCTGGTGCTGGAGCCGGTTCTCTTCCTGTTGGGAATGCGCGGGGTCGGATGGGAAAGTCATGGGTCACATCGTGCATTCTCAAAGTTCAGGCAACTAGTACAGCAACAGTTTCGGGGGGACGAACCAACCTTGACGCGTTTGTTGTAATTGTGCTCCGCTTGGAGACAGAGTGTACTCTTTCGACAGCTGCTGCTGCCCGGTGATGATGACAGTTTATCTGTATAGCTCATAATGCAAAGTCTCGGATGAAGAACGGCCGATATGTGTGGGGAGTGATCAAGTTGAGCAGTGTGTCGAGAAGAATGGAAAGTGATGGGATGAAGCACGGGCGATGTGTATTGGGAGGGCGATCAAGTTGAGCGGTGTATTGGAGGAATAATAGAAAGTTACGTAACGCGTCGGACCGCGGTATCCGTAAGAATCGAAATACCAAGGTCCCATCTCCCGTCTCCATCTTTAGGGATTCATAATTATCGAAGTGTCAAATAATAATCGAAGTGTCAAAAGGTGTCAAAAGACGTGCCATCGCCTGAACCGACAAGTGTTCTCATGTGGCAATCGAAAACACTTGAACGGAATGCTGACTTTTTACCCAGCAACCGCTTGACTGCGCATGATCCGGCACTGCTTCTTGGTGCCCGAATCCTATAAAACCATTCCCATGGACCTGAACCCCAATCCTCATCCAAACCACCGTCAAGAACCCATCCATGCCCGGCACTACCAAACCCTCGCCCCACCAGGAGCCCATCAGAAGCGACACGCACGAAGCGCGCTCTGAGAGGAGCTACTTGGCAAAAGCTCATGATGGGAGCATTTCCAAGGAGGCCCGGTGAGTAGCGGAGACGAGGCAAAGGTGCCAGGTGGAATTTTACCGAAAACTCAGTTTGAGTACTTCTATCGTCAGTTCCCGTCTTTTTCTCCATTTGCTTATTTCCTTCCTTTCTTCCTCCACCTTCTTAGAACTCACGCTGCCGAAAGATTTGCTGAGCTCCACGAGGCCCGGACGGGAGAGAGAGTTGACCCCAGAGCCGAGGCCGCCATCGGCGATGCGAAGGCTGAAGAGAGGCAAAAGGGGCGGCATCACACGATTGAATGACGGGTCTTCGTCCGTCGAGTAGTTGTCTAGGGATTTCAGAAGTGCATAGTCAAAAGGGAATATTCAATAAGAGTGGAAAGAAAGGCGGGGATGGGCGTAGTTTGCTTGGAGCGGAAGTGAAGAGCATAATGCCGTATATGTTCCCTCGATGTGATCGTTTAGCCATTTGTATAAATTCAATTTGCTACATAAATTCAGGTTGCTTTAGCTGCGCATCCCCATATTTCCCGGTGTTCATTGGACGCTAGGTTTATATACATATTCAGCATTGCAAATTGCATAACTGCTGTTATCACGTTTTCGAGACCCCCGGCGACCGCATGTGTTTCCGCACCACCTGCTCTTCCAACCCAGGTTCACTGATCACGCATATCTTGATAATCCCGCATGTCTTCTGAGCGCCGTCTACTCGCACCACACCCGGCATGGGCACAACACTGTGCGATCGTTGACCAGGCCCGGGAAATAAGCGAAGCGAAATTGTGTTTTGCCATGACAAGAGCCAGCAGGCTGCATTCGCTCAACGCAGAAATCTTGAGAAACTCGACCGGTGTCGCCCGGCTCCAAACAGGTCTGTAATCCGCTCTCAGCTAGCTGCTCTCGGAGCATGTCATGGGGCGCGGCCGGAGCAGGAAAGTAAAGTTTGACTCCGACGGCTGCGCAGCGGAGTCGGAACCGCAAAATACGGCCAGCAAGGTGATGCCACACCATGATAAATTTGTAGCCAGATGGCGACGAAGGTGCTATCTTGTGCATAGCATCCGCGACGCTCATTGAACATAAACGCACCCACAACCATTCGGACCGCAGCTCTTCGTGAACTTCTCCGTCAATGTGCTCGCTGAAGTTTCTCCACAAAACTCTTGTAAACTTCTTGCAACTGCTGTCCAGATGGGTGTTCGTTGAGCCTTCTGGACATAACACTTGAAGAATCGGTTCTAGTGAACCAAAGAAGTTTGACTTGCTCAAACGCTGGGTAAAACCCCAATGGATGGCCTCTGAAAGCGCGTACTCGATGGCATACACAAGATGCATCTTCTTCAATGAGTAGGTCGCGTCGGGGCAAAGGAGACCGAAGTAGCGCTTTGCCTGTTCCATCTCAATCCTTGTTTCGAAATCTTTGGGAATGAGACTAACAACCTCCCGATGCATATCGGCGTAAAGTTGTTCAAACTCCTCCACGATACTAGTCAAGTTGTATCGGGATTCCAACTCGTATAGCCCTACATCCCCCTGAACTGCACCCCGCTCACTTTCAAGCTGCGCAATTTCGCCGCGAAGGCGGATCAATTCATCGTCCGCACTCTTAACATTTTCCTTCAGCTTTGCGAAGCAATGTTGAGATTCAGCGAGCTGCCCTTTGAGAATTTCGTTGTCACTTTGCAGCTGGGCAATCTGGGAGATCAATGCCCCGTTGTTACGAATGGCATCCTCCTGCTCTCGATGCTGAAAGGCATAGGCTTCCCGTAAATCCGCCAGCTCCACCACGAGCGCCTCGTTGATCACGCCCCCAGAACTATTGGCGGATACACAGCGTTGTTGCACTTTGCGCTCTGGTGTAGCGTCAGACGCTGGACTCTCGCTTCCGTAATTATTATCCGTCTTGCCTTCCAGTGGATACCACCTCCTTCCGCAGTTAAGAAGCTTAGATACGATTTGATCTTGCTTCAAGACGCGAAATTGATCGCGCAATTCCTCCAAAAGCTGGTCGACCCGAGGAACAAATCTTGTGAAGGCACGTACGTCATCCAGAGTGGTTTGTGTCATGAAACGTGGATCATTCAAGTACTCCACAAGCTGACCTCGCAACAATGTCGAGGACGAAGAAAATGCCGGGCCAAACCGTTGGATTTGTCGAAATTTGTCACTCAAACCTTGAACACAATCCCGACCGACGCAATGCCCAGCGATTTGCTGAATTTCGTAGCAAAGCCAAATGTATTGCAATAGGAAGGTGTTGCCCGTTTCACTCAAAAACTCATAAAAGCAGGGCCGAAGAGTCAAGTTGGAAAGCAAACTCGGGACCGTCTGAAACCGCAAAATGATTGGCGCCATGTTCTGACTGGCATATCGCTTCAAACTGCGTACTCACCTGAGGGTACCTGTCAGGCTGCAATGCCTCCAAAACAAGCACTCGATTCTGGAGCTCGGTATCCCAGGATGAGGAAGCCACCTTGTTTCAGACGGGCATCAGTACAATGCAAAAGGTACCGTCGTACCACCAAGTTCTTACGACGTTGCCGCTCCACTACTGACCTCAGCGTATGTAGGTTGGTTAGGTTTGGAGCCCGAATTACCCATTCTGCAATAGTTTGCGGTATTTTCTGACAGAAAGTGGGTGGGCTGGTCCAAAAAGTGTCTGTGGACAGAAAAGGGTCCACCGTGAATTATAACGACCTGTTTAATGACAAAGTGTTCCATCATCGCATCATGCTGCGCTTCTAGGTATCCAAACGACCTCAAAACATCCCAAAACAAAATCAAAATGAAAAAGAAAATACAACTGCTTTCCGACGAGGCTCTTCATATCCCGCCCAAACATCATTGTTTGCTTGTACCTTTGGGCAAAATAGCTTTTGCTCTCCAATTCATTATTTTCACCAAACCACAACGCAAAGAAATTGGGCAGGCGAACAAACTAGTATTGCAAATTCTCAAGGCGAAACTACTTTCCCAAATCCCAAAACACTTGAAATATTGCCAGCTGAAGCTTCCGACTCCCAGCGAACCCCCACTATCATCAAAACTCATCCGTTCCTTGCCAGTTGCCGTTGAGGAGACTCCAAATGCACAATCAGACGCACCACACCTTAGCTTTTGCCAAAATGGTGCGGTCGTTATACAAGCCAGGGCAGAAGGCAAATCTGTAGTCTGTCTTCTCATGGCATGAGGACGCCGTTTCCATAAGCTCACGGCAAAAGAGCACCGCAGGCTCCGGTTTTGTGACGTTTTGCCACGTTTCATCGGTTTCTACACTTCCGTCACTTGCTCCTTTTTCGCTCGCCCCTTCGGCCTTTGCTCCTTCCTCGCTCCACGCAGTGTCATCCACATTCATAGGTTCAGCGTCAAGTCCGTTATCGGAGGAATTTGTAACCCAGCTGGGTGGAGGCATCCAACAAAC